AATTATTTTAAAATATTTAAATTTAATTTATAAATAATTATGATGATTAAAAATTAAATTAAATATAAAGTTAAAAAAATTTGTATTAGTTTTCTCATCTTATAAAATCTCTTAAAAATATTTTCACAAAATATAATTATTTATATTTTATATATAAGAATCAATTAATTTTAACTTATTGTTGTGTTTTGATTTTGATCAGTTTCATCAAAACGAACTCATCTTCAATCCAATCCAACACATTTATTACATCTTGGGTTTGTAAATTGGAATGTGCAAAATTTCCTTTCACCACCATTCAAAGGCATTTTCAAATATTTGGTTTTGTTTGGCAAAGTTAGCTTTCTACAGTGAAACCCAGTACCAGAAGCCGATGCTTCCCCTCAAGTTTCATCATAAAAATTGAATTCATCTTATCATCATCACAATTTCTTTTCTTACAATCCCTCATTTGAAACTGAATCAAAACCGGACTAGCTCATCACACACGATTCATAAGTTCCGAAGATGTTAGAAACAAAGACGTAGACAGTACCCACATTACATTACAACGATCATTAATAGATCCAAATGCTGCAACCTGTGTGACGTGAAAACTTATCACGAGATTCCAAAAAACAACGACAACATGCAATATCTCATCAGTAACACCGAACGAACGTACCAACCCTGTTCCGTTTACAAACAATAATCGATTAATTTACAGCAAGAACCTGAAGATTGGGAGAAGACATGGCGCTAGAAAGCATCCTCTCTTGCGACGAAAACGATTCATTGTTCCTCCGAGAGGCACTCCTCCAAAATCCACTCCCATAGAACCTCTCCCACATCTCCTTCTCCAGCTCCACCACGTCCTCGTCCTTCGCCACCGAAATCCGCCCCCGCAGCGCCGCCAAGTCCTCGTCGTCGCAGCACAGCGGGTACACCCTCCCGCCGCCCATGATGTCGTCGCAGCACCCGCACAAGCACCGCCGCCGCGTCGCCACCAGCTCCTCCTCCATCAGCGACCTCGACCGCCGTCGCTTTCGCAGCGCCTTCTGGCAAAGCCGTGCGGGTACCTTGTATACTGCAAGGTACACCATGTTGGCCAGCCCGAAGGAGAAGCAGCAGCAGACGGCAGCTGTGCCACCCACAGCTTCTCCCAGGCGGGTTCCTGCCTGGGGATAGCTTTGGCACGACTGCAGTAGCGGCTGCTTCCGGTTGGACGACCTGGTCGACCGGAGGATCACTCTTCTAGACATAACGGAAATAACTAATTAATAACCGATTTTGTGACGGAATATAATAGATGATGATAACAGGGGTGGTAATTTGGTTTTGTTTTGTTTTTTTTTCCCTCCTTTCTTTGCCGAATTGGGTTTAGATTATGATCGTTGAAGAAAGAAGGGAGAAAATGGTTTTCAGATGATGGCAGATTTGTTATAGCCTTCCTTATCGGTTGCCATGAGGCAATTGTGTGGGGGTGGTGAGAGTTATATAGCTAGAGACGAATTTGGCGAATTGAGGATTTTTATGGAAAAATAAAGTTTGGTGGATAATTAATTAAGGCAATAATTGAGGAGTTATTTTGGGTTTGGTGTTTGTGGAATTTGATGGGAATAGGTGGTGATGATCTAGAAATAGATGACGCAATGGTAATGGTAATTGCAAGTCAACTTTTTTGTTTAGAAACTGTGGCACACGGATGTGGATGGATATATACTTGGAGGGTGGGGGAGAGGCTGCGTAATTTTGACTTCATCCAACCAGTGGAGGTTGATACAGTACTAGTTATATATTTTTAAGTACGCTGATTTGTAACTGGGGGCTTACACAAAAATATTTATGGAAAGAAAAAAATTAATTTTGATGATTTATACCTATAGAAAGTGATGGAATAACACTAAGGCCAAGAAGTCCAAGAGGTGATGTATTGAAGGAAGTAAAAGAAATGGGTTAGTGTTGAAAAACCATAGGAGGAGTGAGGCCACTTTTGAACCTTAGTTCCTAAGTTTTTATTAACATAACATTTATTTTTATTCCTATTTTGCCCTTGTCTTTGATTTTCCATTTTTACCCTTGTATGTTGGGGTATCTTAGACATAGGATCTATTTTACTTGTATTTCCAATTTTACCCTTGTATTATGGGGTGCTTTAGATCATAGGATTTTATTTTTGGGCTAAGGTATTTGATTAGGATATTTGGGTGTCTACAGCTGCCCCTCTTTACTTGTCCTTTGGAATAGTAATGTGTT